CCCTTAATTTTTGGGGTGCACAACCCTATAAACAGACCCCAGAGAGCATTCACCCCATTAATTAGGGGTTCCCAGCCCTATAGGGGGGGTCTCACCCCATTAATTTTGGGATGCTCAGCCCTATATGGAGACCCCAAAGGGGTCTCACCCCACTAATTAAAGGGTTCCCATCCCTACAGGGGGGGTCTCACCCCATTAATTAGGGGTGCCTGGCCCTATAGGGGGGTCTCACCCCATTAATTATGGGATTCCCAGCCCCACAGAGGGGTCTGACCCCATTAATTTTGGGATGTTCAGCCCTATATGGAGACCCCAAAGTGGTGTCACCCCATTAATTAGAGGTGCCTGGCCCTATAGAGGGGTCTCACTCCACTAATTGGGGGGTTCCCAGCCCTATAGGGGGTCTCACCCAATTAATTAGGGATGCCCGGCCCTATAGGGGGTCTCACCCCATTCATTAGGGATGCCCGGCCCTATAGGGGGGTCTCACCCCATTTAATTAGGGATGCCCGGTCCTATAGGGGGTCTCACCCCATTAATTAGGGATGCCCGGGGCCCTATAGGGGGGTCTCACCCCATTAATTAGGGATGCCCGGCCCTATAGGGGGGTCTCACCTCATTAATTAGGGATGCCCGGCCCTATAAGCGTCTCACCCCATTAATTATGGGGTGCCCGGCCCTATAAGGGTCTCACCCCATTAATTAATGGATTCCTGGCCCTATAGGGGGTCTCACCCCATTAATTAGGGATGCCCGGCCCTATAGGGGGGTCTCACCCCATTTATTATGGGGTGCCCGCCCCTATAGGGGGTCTCACCCCATTAATTAGGGATGCCCGGCCCTATAGGGGGGTCTCACCCCACTAACTCTGGGATGCCCGGCCCTATAAGGGTCTCACCCCATTAATCAGGGGGTTCCCAGCCCTACAGCCGGCTCTGACCCCACTAATTAAGCGCTTCCCGGCCCTATAGGTGGATCTGTCCCCCCGTTAATTTTGGGGTGGGCCCCTCCCCCCCCATCCCCCCCCGGCCCCCATTCCCGACCCCAAACGCCGCTCGCCATCCCATAATTTCCCCGGGAACTCACCGTACATGGCCCCGGCTGCGCTCCCGGCCCTATTCCCGGCTCGAGCCCACCGGGACCGGGAAAGGGGGGGGGGAAGGGGCGGGAATTCGGGAAGGGAGGGCGGGAATTCGGGAAGGGAGGGCGGGAATTTGGGGAGGGAGGGGCGGGGATTCGGGGAGGGGGCGGAGCTTCCCGTGAGCCACGCCCCCTCGAGCCACGCCCCCTTCGCCCATTTTTATTTTGATTTTTATTTTGATTTATTTTTTTCCCCCGATGGATATCGGGAATCGCGGGAAAGGATTCCCAAAAACCCTCTTGGGGAAGGGGTGGGGACGCTCGGGGATTTTTGGGGGGGCGAGCGGGGAAACCCCCCCCCACCCTCGGGGCCCTAAAAGGGGTTGGGGGGTCTTAAATTCGACCCTAAAAGGGGTTGGGGGGGCCCTAAAAGGGGCTGG